CCAGCTCCGGCAGCGACGCTGGCGGGAGCCCGCGGCCGGGCTGTGGAGGGTCCCCACCACGGTCTGCTGCCCTGGCCAAGGAGGTGGCCTCCCTCTTTCTGCCGCCCTCTTAGAAACACTGTCTGTGGCTGCAGTTGCCTCCACTGCAACTCCACCAGGCTCCTCTTTCTCCAGGAGCCTTAAGAGGAGCAGCAGAGCAGGCTCTTTTCTCCCCCGGGAATGCTAGTCCCAGTTTATTTTATTCACCTTGCTTCCTGAGAGATGTTTTACCTCCATAGCAGAAAATGCATTCAGGCAGGCACGGCGCACCTGATGCTACCGATAAAACTAAGGCTTGTTCAACTTACACCCCAGTTTGTTCGTCTCTATCTTTTAAGGTTGTCTAAAGAAACCTCCACTCCTAAAACACAGTTCAGCTTTCAAGAGGCCAAAATAAAAAAGTCTGTGTAGGAGTCACAGATCTTTCAGTGAGTTTCAGGGTGTGTGCACTGAAAATATTCAAAGGTGTACATGTGGAGTTTGTCAAGACCTGACAAGACATTTACCAGGAGGTGCAAGAGGAAGAGCAGTGAGTTCCCTCAGAACTGCGGGTATGACTGTGTAATTTATCACTATAAATTATAGCAGATGACACTCGCCATAAAACAGTGATTATAAATCCCATCCACAGAATGTGACAGTTTAATAAACTCCATAATTTGTAACATGGGACTCAGAAGTTTCAACTCCAGGCTTATATTCATCACTTGCATGTTATTCTTTGTGACACCAAATGCTTAACCTATCCCTGTATTTTTCCCATACCAAAACCAAAAAAAATCAGGAAGCTAAGATAGCTGATTGAGATGCCAAGCGTTTGTGGTCTAGGAAAGTAGCCAATATTTGATTAAAAGAGCAAATATTTCCTGGTATAAACTCGAGGAGGAGAAAACAGCACATGAACCCATTCTTTGTTTATGCAGTACAGTCCCTGCAGAAGCACACCTAAGTTAAAGGCATTTGATACTTATTTCTGAATAACCAGCACTTCCGTTCTCCAGAACCCCAGAAATCACCAGATTTCTGATAATTCCAGTAATACTGTGGAGGTTACAAGAACAGTCCCACACCTTGCTGATTGGCACTAGTACTAGGAAACAAGAAATGTTTGTAGGAAACTGAGCTCAACAGGTCTTTCTCACAAGTTCTTTTGCAGAACTTCCCTTTGCATCATCATTATTTGTAGGTGAGATGATCTCAAATACCTCTTTTCTTGAGCAGTCGCTTTAAAATAATGCCAAACTTAAAAAAATGTAAATACTACTTTTCTTTTTAATGCAGTTTAAATTCTTTTAAAAAGAAATGTTTATGTGACATTGTTTTCCTATAAGAATATCCATTTTTTTCTTAACATATAGGTTGTGATCCAGCAAAGCCATTTCCACTGTCACTGTCTCCACAGAGAGACAAGGAATGCTGGGGAAACCATTCTTTTTCAGAGAAGCAGACACCAATACAATTTCTTTCCTTTGTGGCAACAGACTGGTAATGGATTTTTTGTCATCATTTTAAAAAAAGCAAACAATCTGATAGCAGAGATCAAGGAGTTCAGAACAAATAGTCTCTGCTAATGTCAGCTTACACCTTGATCTCATTTTGCCCTTTAAAGTATTTGGTCATTTTATGCATTCAGTAGCTACATTTATTTCCTTTGAGGGACTCTTCCATACTTAGTAGTCCCTCATTAGAATGATGTTTCTCAGAATTCCAATATTTCTTTTTCAAATAGGCAATCAAATTTTGAAAGCTCACAAACCCTGCAGATAGAGGACACAACTGAAGTTAAAACAGCAGATGTATTATTCCTATGGAAGAACAAAGAGTAGTTTAACTCTTGCCATGTTTCCCATCTTCTCCCTGCACTGGTGAACTTGCCCAGGACAGCTCATGTATCTTGTCACCTTTACAGAATAATCTGGTGATATCTGTTGTGGCTGTGGTATAGTGGACTAATAAATTGCCTCTTAGATACCTGCATGTTGCTATTAATAGTTAATAACTGAAATGCATCTTAAAAAAATAAGAGGGAGGAATAAATACGTGTTAAAGAATGGAAAAAAATCAATCTTCAATGCACTTACATTGCTATTACTGTAGACAAGTCACCATAGAAAGTGCAGTAGATATTGATTAAACAATTGCCCTAGTAGAAAGAATAAAGACCAATCCACTGCCTGTCAGAAAGCTAAAAGCAAGGACCATGATAAATCCCTGAACATACTTACCAAAGAGAAGGTCTGTGTGTTATAGAAAGCAGCGATATCCCAGCAGCTTTTGCAGCTTGGAATATCTTTCCTTCAACATCAATGCTTACAGCACTTGTACATTCATCCAGCAATGCGTATTTCGGCCTTTCAAAAGCAGATAAAGAACATTACTCTTCTATGTTTTGGACAGCATTCCCATGTATGATGTTTAATTGAAAGAACAACAGAAAGGAGGGAGAGATTTTTGCCAGACCGCTGTCTCTCATCTACAGCTGGAAGCTGGCTACCAACAACATGAAGTTCCCACGCATTATGCAGGTGCAGACCCAGCTTCCAGGAAAAATAGGGTTTATTTCCTGGTTCATGTGAGTTCCCAGTGACCTAACTTCTGTGTTCTGGTTTGACCTAGTACTACTCTGTCCTGTCATCAAGTCATACCATAACTACAACCAACTCAGGAAGTTTCTGTTCACTGTTATGTGTGGACTGAGCTGCTTTTGCAGTACTTGCAGTCTCCAAAAAGTTTTGGAGCTTGACTTTCAAACTCCCACAGCCTCTACAAAAGTCCATTAGACCTCTGCAACATTTACAGACAGATGCAGGGGAGATGTTTGTGCCTGAGATATTAAAGAAAGGACATCCGGAAAATGCAATGCCATGTTGCCAAAAGCAAAGCTGAAGTAAGAAGCATTGCCCACACTAAAAGCAGAGCTTGTATGAATAAACACAGGTCTGCGGTCCTATGCAACCATTTGGCAGTGTCGCATATTGCATGGAGATTATAGTCTACTACTGCTCAAACTATTACAGCAAACCTTCAGACCTCTTCCTCATTTTTCAGATGCTACTTAAAAAACAAATCAAAATACTTACTTATGGTAAAACATCCGAGCCATGCCCATCCTTTGTTTCTCTCCTCCTGATAAGACATCTTTCCAATCCATGATGGCATCCCAGCCTTTTAAAAAAATGCAAACAAAACATGTCAGGACAATGTAAGTTTATGAAGGAAACACAGCTTTACTTGCAACACCTCTGCAATCCACCACCAAAATCATAAAGAGAATTTCCATCGCAGAAGAGACAGCTCAAGAGTCTGGATCACATCTTCAGAAATGCCTCAATGTCTTTCCATTGGCACTCAACTGGAAAAACGTCCCAAATATCATAGAATCATAGAATCATAAAGGTTGGAAAAGACCTCTAAGATCATCAAGTCCAACTGTCAACCCAACACCACCATGCCTGCTAATCATGTCAATTTTGAAAGCGGAATTTAACCTTCTTGGTCACACAGGTATTGTCAAAAAACTCTATTTACCTTCTCTTTGAAAAAACATCTTTTACCTGTGTATAATTAATAATTTTTTTCTGTCATGTTTGTTTTATAGAACAATTTGCTATTCCTTATTGAAATGTCTGAGTGGAAATTTTAAAACAAATTCAAAGAAATAGAGTGTAAAAAACATAAAGAGCAATGCCTGACTCTGCTCACTACTGTAGGCAAAGAAGAACTGTCAGCAAACTCAACAGAAACACAGATGCAGACACACAGATGCATTCTGTGTACACAGACAAGCAGCTAACACACAAAGCTGCACACAGGCAGGAGGATTTTCCACATAAAGGTCCCGCTACCTTATATTTAGAAATGACCCACAACTGCTACGACATTGTGTATCCTTATTTAATACTCTGCATGGCCTCTAACTGATTTTTTTCTTCACCACTTTCAGATCCATGCAACGGGAGCATGACATATTTTATCTGTGATCTCTCGGTGGGCTGGTGTTTGTGTGAGTACTCCGCCATGATTTATTCCCACTCATCAAAAACTTCATATACCAAATTACCCTACTGGAAAGAAGTTTTAATTTTAACAACCTGACCAAAAACCCTATTCTGCACTGCCCAACTGAAAATGAACATTTGCCAGAAAAGACGATAAACATGGTCCAGCAAGCAGGGTGGGCTGTGTCATTTCTGATACCAGACCACAGCTGAGACAAGTGGGGCTTGTGAAGGTGCAGGAGGCTGGGGGGTGCTCAGTCCGTGCTTGGTGCTACACCAGGGCTTAGTAGGTCTGAACAAAACCTCAGTGAAGCATCTAGTGAGAGGCTGTGACTGAAAACAGGAATTGATAATGTGAGAGATTGAATTCCGAAAGTTTTCTATACTTAAAATGCATGTGTATATAGTGAAATTTTAAAAGCGGGCATGCACACAGCAGAAATACATCACCTTTACTCATCCGATTGTTTTTACTTAGTTTACTTCCATTCTTGTTTAAGAATCCCAGTGGCACCCCCCGCTCCCCTGCCACCCTGCGGGGCACACACAGTGCCTTCTATCCGCAGGCTCCTAGCAAAGACGGAGCTGTGTAATGATTAACTGAATCACCATGTGGACGAACTCTGGTGAAGGAAACAGATACACAGAGCCTGCTGCTGCTGAGCAGTCCTGGTGCTGGGACCACACAGAGAACTGGAGTGCTGCTCCACCGACACCTTCAGCTTCTAAAAAAGACTGTAAGATGCCTGGAGTGCTCCTTTTTGGCTAGGGCCAAGGGAGGGGAATGGTCCTTCATGAAAGCCATAGAAACAGCTATGCTTCCAAAGACAATGTTCAGTCTGCTGCTTACATTCTGCTATGTTTAAGCTGAGAATGTAGATGCTCCAGGTGTCTGGACCTGAGCTAGGGTGTGGGAGGGTGTGCACATGTGCACAGGTGCCTGGAGAAGTGGTGCCTGCCTTCACACGGTTTCTTCTAGATCAGCTGGTTTATAACAACTTAGTAAAAGACAAAAAGTGAATGAAGTTGAAGAAGCAGTATCACCTTGTCAGCAAAATCCTTCTATTATTTCCTCTAAAGGTGTAAGATTTAGCCTCAGTTTACCATGATACAATGGTCATCTCTGTGGTCACTTCAGCTTACATTCTAACTGAATATTAAAAGCATGTCTTGTCTCCTCCTGTCTAGCCTCCGTCCCTCAACCTGCCTGTTTGCCACTTCGAACGTCTCAAACAACAGATAAGGAAGGATCCATTTTAATAGTATCCCTTTTCAAAATAATTTTCTAATGTCTGAACAACTTCCTCTGAACACTTAGGCAATGTAACTCACAATAAACTGACCTCCTACTGTGCACTAACAATAACGCACCTACTTGTTTCTCTTTTCTTCCTCCTGACATGGTACAGGTCGGTGAAGCACCTTATTGTTCTGAAAATATCAGCCAAGTCACTGGCATACGTCACCCGTAGCTACATCCACTTCATAAATGAAGAAATGAAATGGCTTGTCCATGAACACAGCACAAATCTCTCTGAAGGTACAAACATAATCCTGGCTTTCAGAGTCCAAATTCCTTGCCCAGCTTCTCGTTACACGTAGCCTTTGATTGCACGTGGTATGATGCAGACGTGATGAACGCTGGATGTCACAGAAATGCCTTTTGCAACCCATGAGACAAAGATCATGTGTAATGTGCTGGGGCAGAGTAACAGCAGCAGAAATACATAAAGCTGTCAGTGGAACCTAGCGATAGCCTCATGATAGCAGCATTTAATTTTCTTGCATGGCTTCTTCTGTAATTCCTTTTACCTCAATTTTCTGAAGGAAAAAGCAAGCTAAAAAGGGTTACATCTGGGGTCTGTGTATCCTTCATCCCGGTGAATCCTCGTGCCTACAGGCAAGGCAGAGCATTCAGCTGCCATAAAAAGACACTCTTAAAAGTGCCTTTTGCAGATCTACTTTCTAATGCACCTTATCAGACACGGACTGGAGTGTTATAGCTTCATGAAAGAAGAAAGGCTACCACAGCAAACTCAGCCAGAGAGTCCACCTCAGGTGAGTTTCTGAACATGGAGGCCTCTCACACTGCGAATGTCCCCAGGCAGCTGTCAAAATGGAAGAGAGCCAGGGTGCCGGCAGGGTGAATCTGCAAGGTCGGTCCTTAGCTGAGGAAGGAACAAAGAGACCGTCGACTGCCTGAGCCCCAGATCAGCAGGACACTGCAGGGATTCATGTCTCTGGATTTTAGAGCCACTGGAAAAGCCAGCAGAGCACTCCAGAGTTCCTGCTGGTATCAATAACAAAAGCAAATCCATGGCTCAAATGATCAAATGGAAAAATTCTCAGCAAGAGGAAGCGTGCTTGTCTGTGTTTATACGTGGCCTAGCACAAAGGTTCCCTGGACAAGACCCAAAGATATGACAAATGTGCAAAATAATGAGGAATAATTATAATCTGGGGTGCTGAGAAACCATAAACAGGTTGAACTTGTTCAGTAGTGCCATCAGCCACAACCTGACAAGCCCAGTCATGCACTCAGCGTGCTGCTACACGTACTCATAGCTCCTCTCATGTGACAGGCTATCGGCAGCCCAACACTGCAACACAATTGACACTTGCTAAATATACACAGATTTTCAAAGCAGGTCAAAAAGGAATCACTCTGTCTACATCTACCACACTTCTCCACGCTATTACCCAGTTTCTGGACGTGCCTTTTCACCACCCGTGCTGCACACAACGTTCTTTGCTATCCTCATTTTGTACGAAATTATTGTTCTGGTAGAGCTAGCAACTTTGCAGGTGTTGATAGGGGCACCTTATTGATAATATAAAGGTAAGCAACAGAATGGCATCCCTCTAATATCCAGCAGGTGAGAAAAATATCAGTGTGGGATTCAGTGGGAAGGAAGTTCTGCCCCTAACAGCAAGGGGGGCTACCATCAACAGCAACTGCACTGGGATCTTCTAGGGCTTCAGCTCAGGGCCATCAGCAATGGTGGTGGTGGTGGAGAGGCAGGCGTTATTTTAGTGATTTTGGTGTATTCTGTTGCTACTGACTGAATAAAGTTTCACGAAGGTAACACAGAAGCTAAATGCCAAACTGGGCTACTTATTCGTGTAACTAATCTATTTACTTCTAACCAGGTCAAACCTTATTGCTAAAAAAAATAGAGGAATATCTAACATTGGCAGCAACAAGAACAACATCAGGCTCTTGTTGGCTACTTTACACGTGGAATCTGGTGACCGTTGCACTGAAGCAATGTGGAAGTAATTCAGCTAAAGACAATAAAGTTACACCAGGACAAATAAATTGAGTCAGACTTGCGCGTTTCTGGCTCCATCTGGCTTTTTCATAACAGCCCGCAGGGAACAGAACACAAAACTGGAAAGCATCGTATTATACACACATGACATTCGTGATCAATTAAAGCACAACAGGGTCATGCCTTCAGGAGCCTGCTGTTTGGTAGAGGCTTAATACTGCAGGGGACAGTTGAAATGGGAAGAGACAGAGGTAAGGCTCTGAAGGAGAAGGGGATCTACAGAAAAAATATTGAAGAATTATGTTAGATTTCTATAACTTCATGACTGACAGATAGTTAGCTCCATTCTTAGAACAGTTTATGGAAACAGTTCAAAATAGCATGGACATATCCCGTATTTCCACAAGAATCTGAATAACTAAAAATGGTTTCAATGATTTTTTTTTTTCAGATGTAGTACATCTTCAAAAAGTGCACATAACACATAAACAAAAACCTGATGAGAATTTTTCAGCAAAACTTATTCCTACTGGAAAATGCCAGTACTTGTCAAACATCACAGCAGTTTGCAAAAAGGAAAAAGACAGTTTGGGGCAAATCCCTTGTTCTACAAGATTTATATGGGATTTTTTTGTTACTTAAAAAAAAAAAGTTCCATTCTTAATAGAAATAATTTTAGTTTAAACATCTGACGAAGTAAAAGAATAAAATAACAATTAGAATAAAAATAAAACATTCAGCTATGTATAAAGAAAAATTTTAATTGTTCACTTTCAAGCAGTATTTCTCTGGCTTGCTGGTTCAAAAACCAGAATATGAGTCCTTGTCCCAGACTGAGGGAGCTCTAAAGAGCATGTAAGTATATGAAATCCACATAACGTGTCACAGAATCACAGAATCACAGAATCACAGAATAGTAGGGGTTGGAAGGGACCTCTGTGGGTCATCTAGTCCAACCCCCCCGCCGAAGCAGGGTCACCTACAGTAGGCTGTGTCATGGATTTCCTCTCTCCTCCTACCCTGGCACTTGTCTCCTGCAAATGACCAAGGATAAAAGGGAACAAGTAAGTGTATTATGGTCCTAAAAACTTCCTGGTATGCGCTAATCTCTCCCCATTTTCCGGCTTTGCCCACTTCTGCCATTTTAGATCGCAAAGCACCTAAGACACTTTTTTTTTTTAACATTTGTCTGTGTAGGCTTTTGCACAGTGTGCCCTTACCCTGAGTGGAGTTTCAATAGAGCACCAGTGAACCTTAACAGCATCCTCTACATTTTTTTAGAGATTGTGTGTGTCTCACATGCACGGTCTGATAGGCAGAAGAGCAAGAACGGGGTCAGCAATAAAAGAGGACTACTGTCCTCTGGCACAGAAAGCAGACCGAGGCTGATCCAAACCTGGCTTTTCATTTTGGCAATACAGAACAGTGACCCTAGCCAACAGCATCTCGTACGTGGAGCACAGTAACTGCTCCACCCCAGTTACATTACCCAGCTCCAGCTGCAGGGTTATAAACCACAGTTATGTGCATTCAGAGACCACTGGGGATATGGTTTTGGCCGCTAAGGGTCATGTGCTGTCCAGTACATCTACAAGTACCAGCTCGCTATGAATACACATTCCACAGCGGCTTCTTGCCACTGACAATTTAACTGCTCCTCCTTTTCCAGCTCCCCATTCCAACACATCTGCTTATTCTTCTGCAATCTGGGCACTTCACTCAGTGAAGTAAGTGACTCAGGAATACTACAGGAATAATTATAATGTCAGTGTAGGGAGTAGAGGTCTTCTCTGCAATTGTTCCGGTCACTGAGCTTAGCTCTCTGCCCACTTTTTCAGTCCTTGTGTCACAGTATCAGATCTGAATAATAATATGAATCAGAATGATGGCAGATTCTTGTCTTCTCTTGCAGCTTGAGGGCCAACAGTCATTATTACGTTCTTAACAAAGAAGCATTAACCCATGGAAAGATAAGAGTTTGTCAACAGGATTGTGAGGTGGAGAACTATCCGTAGGCATACAACTGCTGCTGTGAATGATCACTACTCCTCACAGTAAAATATGAAAAAAAGACACCAGATAAGTGTCCACACATACTTCAAAAATAAAATACACCTTCTGCCTGTTGAACAGAGCAACAGGGTGCCATCCAAGAATGGGGATTAAGACACTGCTTTGGGATTCCCACTGGCTGAAGCACTACTCTCTACTGTCAGAATGATCCTGAGAGACACCAAGCACATACATTGCAGGGCAATGCACCCGCAGTACCCTCTAAAAAACGAGCACTGACAGCTCGCAGAGAGAGGCAGGGTACATCCAGCACTCCCAACATCATCTCCTTAGAGGGGTTTGAAGATCCTCCTTCTTCTCTCTAAACGTTACCAACTTTGGCCTATGTCTGTTTTAAAAGCGTAATGATGGGGAGGAAATTCAAACTAGAGATTAGTGGCTAGTGGGAACAAAAGGATGAAAATTATTGCTATGCTTGCGACAAAAAAAGCCATTAAATGCTCCAGTTCCTTAGACACAAGAGAAGCCTTCAGCATCTTGACATTTACTGTGCCAGTGTATTTACACTATCCCCTGCTCTTAGGACAAACAACGCTGAGAACACATGGCAATTTAAACAGCAAGTGGTAGATGGCAACACTCCGCTGCCAGCCAGTGTTGTTAGGTTATTTTTAACTTCTTCATCCTGGTGGTGTGGTATGAGACCCTCTTTCCCATTGCTGATCACACAAACCAGGGAGGTGAAAGCAGACCTGAAGCTCCTTTCATTCATATGCTTTCAAGTTGATGTAGTCGGTGACATTACAAGGTTTTAAGACAGGTCACATTTTCTAAGGAAATGAAGGAATATGACTGATCTTACAATACCATTAAAAGACTGGCCATTACAAGAGAACAGGGATGTTCATCTTGGGCATGGATTTACTGGGGAGGAGAGGAGCACTTAGATCTTCTACCTCCGTTAGCATCAGGAGCAACAACCCTGTGGCTGCGCAGCTCCCACAACTACAAAAGGTCTGGATCCAGTTTTGTCAGTTCAGTAAGTAAAGGTCAGTCACACTAAGAGACACATGCAAGGAATGAACTTTGTAAAGCTTTTTACAAAAATATGCAATTTACCTCCTTCTCTTTGAACTATGTGGTACAGATGAACCATATGCAGGATACACTCCAGATCCTGATCTTGGTAGCCTTTCTCATGCATGTCATCCACTGAGTCTGGATAGATGACTTGATCACGTAGCGTTCCAATGGACATGTAGGGCCTGAGAAACAATACAGAGAAACCGGTAATCTGGAGCTGGCTCCAAGCCAGTGCATCTTGCTGATGCTCTATGAGCAGAGTATAATGCTATAAACTCCACGTTGCTAAAACTGGATTGATCTGTGGGTGCATTGTGGGTCAATGTTTTTCTAAACTTACCCCAGGGACAATGTATTGTTTCCCTAACAGCTGATCACAGCATAGCAACAGGGGGAGTACTAGCATGAGAACAAAACGACAGATCAGGCAGAATAAACATCCACTTCATAGCCCATTCTGACCGCTTTCACTTGGAATCAGGGAAATTCTATGCTGCATTCAAGGTTTTGTACGCTTAGAGATTTAGAAGTCAAATTAAACACTCACATGTCAAAGGTGAATTGTAACAAAAACGTTGCAGCTCAAACTGCGGAAGGCTTCCATGTTGCAGCAGGAGACATCCAAGTCAGGCAGGGGCGCATTGAAAGCCTCCTGTGCACACTGCTATTCTGGACTGCAGAACTGGGCTCGGGTGTACCTTAGCTGGCTCTAGGAGCCTGTGTAACACCTCTGAATCGCGAAAAGGCATACATTAGAGAAGCTGATCAGCTTAACCCTCCCAGCATCAGCCTCCCTTTGCCAATCACAAGGCTGAGCTGCATGTGAAGCAGCTTCTGAATCACCATGTTCCCAGACCAGGTAATACCACCCGTCTTGCTAAAAGAAGCTGTCTCCACTTTGCAGCCAGAGTCCTCGACCACAGCCATGTCCCTGGGATGGCTATGGACAGTCTCCACAATGTCATGAGCTGTGCCCAGCCTTGGGTACAGCACAGGCTCCAAAAATCCTCCTAGCCTCTAAACAAAGTCAGCTCAAAGAACAGTTTTACAGCTCTCTAAAAGATACCAGGCCATTCAGGCTAGGGTACCAAAGGCAATCTAAGACACATCTATTTGACCGTCTCTTTTGCTGCTCTTGTTCTAAGGATTTCTTGTGAAGGACAAATACCTATCCTGTCCCACAGACAAGGCTGATAACCCTTGGAAGCTGAAAACAGCCCAGGAATGATCTGTGAGAATTTGAGTTTGGAGAGGAAGGCCAGAGTCAAAGCACAGTCAGGCTCCAGACTCCATCCTGCTTTCTGTGCCAAGAGTTACACTAACTCCCTCTGGGCTCATCTGCCAAAACAATACTAGTATTATTAAAGCTATGGTGCCAGGGGATGATGACAGAGAGGAGCAGTTAAAATTGGGCGAGCAACCAGGAGGCTTCCAGGCAGCTTGCTCTTGCCACAGAGAACCGCTTCCAACATCTCCACAGTGTGTTGACGAGGGGTCAGTTTTCTTCCCTGAAGAGCTCTGGACCTGCAAGGTGAGAAGGTCTCGGGCACGCATCTGAGGCTTTCCCTGACAGAGATGTGTAATACCTCAGAATTTCTTCCCTTCCCTTGGATGTGTCTCTGCAGAAGGGGTGGACCTACCCATTATTATTCTGAGAGTCCCTAAAATGCACCACAGAGTAATTTGAATGGATTCACAATACAGCAAATGTAGAATTCCACAGCTAAATCTGCAACCTGAACCGAAAGTCACATTCAAGCTGGCACCAGCTGCATTGGTTCTAGTGCTGCAGCCATCCATGGTGAGCTGCCCATAGCTAACTACCTTCACCACCAGCTGGCTGAGGGTGAGGTGGGCAGGAGATCTGAACTGCTCGGAAATATCTGGCCATCTCCCTGCTGTGCGCAGGCACCCAGATGAAGCAAAACCAGAACCGCAAGTCAAATACAAGCGTTGCTGCTCCTCTTGCTTATTGTTCTGCTTTGTGCTTATTGCGGGAAGAGTGTCGCTCTGGGCTGCTAGCCTAGCTATCAACACTAGCATCAAGTGCTGTGAACCATTCACATTAATGGGGATATTGCAACATCTCAACTCTAAAAATTATGTAACTTCATGAAGTAATGATATATTACATTCCCATAGTGCTCTCCATCTAAAACACAAATGGGCTTTACTTATTGTATATGTAGAAATCACTTCACTTGCTCCAGACTGCTGCCATCTCTGGGACAGAAGACAGCAACTCCACCTGGACTCACAGAAGTTGAGATCAGGTTGCGTCTAAGACTGTGTAATTTAGGTGAAGCTGCAGGTAACAGCAAGGAGGACAGAGTTACCTATCATGTAATTTGTCTGGGATTTAATACCTTAGTCTCGTGAAGTATGATCCTCTAATGACTAGCAGCTCCAAGACTTAACCTACAGCACAAGCGGGAAGGCAGTGCTGAAAAGCACCATGCCAGGACACTTGTTGCCATGCTGTTTATTGACTCACCAGCACCGCTTCCTGGTACAACTGGATTTTCCTTATGGCCTCCCATCTAAACACACCAGTACTACCAAGCACACCTCTCTGCACCTAGTTCATATAAATTAAAGCCCAGCCCGCAGTGGAATAGCAAACCACATCAATTACTGACTAACTAGAAGAGAGGGAGAATGGCTTATAGTGGTGGGTCTGCCTGGGAGGTGGGAGAGCATGTTCTGCTTCCCCCATTCTATCAGGTACCACCCATGTGCCTGAGGGGACAACTTCATCTTGCTTGGCATGTGATGGTCTCATCTGGAGCTCCAACTCTTGACAACAAAGAGAGGTACCTCTGTGTTTGGTTTATCCTCTTTATTTTAGGGTGGGGATGGATTGCCTCCCGGGGGTGTCTTCTCCCCCACTGGGGGACAGGGCTGAAACAACTAGCTTAGATAACTAACTTCTAAAGTGCTAAAGTTAGATGAGATGTCATCTAACTCATACTCTCATGATCTCACACTAAACCAGATGTCTCTGTCCATAACTTGAAGACAATAACCTCATCACCTGCCATGGGTGCCACAAAGTCAAACACACCAAGAGCTGCTGAACATCAGATGTTATCGTAATTGAGGTTACGTGCGTGATAGCTGGACATTAAGTAGTGAGAAGTACAGGTAACGGGATACAGCAACAGTGAAATTTTGGCTTTGCCAGTAAGCTCCTTGTCAAAATTCTGTTCTCATTAAATTTTTAGCTGTCCAAACAATAAACCCAGTCTTTTTGTCCTGAAGTAATACTCGAGTTTAACTGGACTTAATTGATTTCTGATGGAGCTTTTCCTTTCAGCCAGTGTCTGGGTTCCAATCTCAAAGAAAGCACTCTTACAGCCTCTGACAGCAACTCCACTGCTGTGCGGGGGTCATGTCTTTGACAGTAATAGCTCTGCAATTGTTTTCTTTCTTTCTTTGCTTTCTGAAAAAGATCCCTACACTGTTTTTGAGAGACAGGATTTAAGATCAGTAACCCTTTTTTAAAAGCTTTGGTATCAAACCTCCAGAAAGTGAAGAAAACTTACTGATTCGTGCCTGGTTTTCTGGAATTTCAAGGCATTTATTGAAAGGGACACTTTCAGTTCTCATAAACTGATCTGTTTTCAGTCAGTTTGATGGTTTTATTGCATCACCAATTTCTGTGCGGTGCACTTAGTGCTTCACTTTGCAGAGTTGTAACTTCATTGTGCTGTTACAAGCCATCATCCCTAGGGCTCCCCCTTGCAGTGCAGGCTTCAAAGAAAGATGATACCAAGATGCGCTGCACTCTGAAGCCTGTGGTATGGACAATTCCCCGGTGCCCTATTGACACATGACCTTGTGCACACTGTTGGCAAAATGTTTTTGAGAAATCCTATGCGGAAGAAGCGCAAGTGTTGCCAATGGTACGGTCTCTTTATTGTGGCTAGCTTTGGAGAGGTAGAAGGGGACAGGTGCTACAAAACACATTGGAGTACATACCAGTCACTTGTCTTTCCAAAAAGAGGACTTGCACCTTGGAGCTGCTAGGCTTGAAGAGGGAAGTATAATGCCAATGCAAAGGGATAGTAGATTAACACTGCACACTGTAACCAGGCAGTACTAACATCTACTAATTCACTGATGTCTTCAAGAGTAGAGGGCTTCGCTCTTTTGGGTGGCAAGTTAAGGAAGATGACTTGCTTAGATGTCAAGAAAGTTCTGTTCCAAAATCAGAACAAATCATACGCACTTGAAATGTTTACAAATACTACCCAAACAATAATAACTGCAAACACACTTGGACAGCAAATGGGAAGTCAGGTCCTGATTTCTCAGTCTGGGGCATGCAGATGAGTTCCAGAATCACAAGCTATGTGTTTTTAGACTGCACCTTCCATGGAGGAATTGTTGATCATAGCTGTGCCAAGGAAGGCGAGGTGAGCTTTGGACTGTACCTGGAAGCAGTTCCTTGGAAGGGTCCCTTGGGCTGCCACGTTGCACTACTATTCTCACAGATACACAAAGTTATGTGGGAAAAGCTTTATTTTTTAGAAAATTATATGTAATGCAACTATAAACTCTTGACTGGCCCATCTTTTAAGTTTCTCTCTCTGGCTGGCAAGATGCCTCCCTAATATACCCAAATAGGAAAGAGAAAGGGGAACATTACACCTGAGATTCTCCATTTCAGATAAATTGCAGCTCGGATTTTTGAAGGAGATTAGGGTGGTTTCAGAGTGCAATCCAGAGTGCTTGCTTTGACATCTAAAATAAAAGGTAATCCAAATTTAGGCACCTCTATTCAAGATTATACTGGAGCCCAAGCTCCATGGAGGTATCTTCCTAGGAAACTTCGAAGACCTTAAGTGTTTGCACTGAAGAATCTCCAGTCCAGAAAGCTAAGGGCACAGCTCATGTCTGCAGATGTGCCTAAATGCTGTCTAATTCCCTATATGGTCCAGTACAGCATGGAATACGAAAGCAAGAGTTTTAAGTCCAGCACCAAACCCTACAGCTACTAGAGATGCAAGGTGAGGGGGTGTATGACAAGCTAACAGTTACCAAATCTCTTCCAAGAACTGGGTTCAAGCTAAGCTTTTCTCAGCTTGCAGGACATCAGATTCCTATTTTTCTAGGCTAGTGTCCAGGCTAAAGAGGAGTCAAAGGGAAAGCACCTTCTAATCTTCCCACTGAAGCAAGG